GGGGTGACCCAAGCGATGGTGGTAGAGGATGGTTGCGTTGGCAAAGCTGCGACAGGAACACAGAGAAGTGTTGGCAGCTTGCGCTTGGGAGAGGGCGGCGACAGGTGCAGGTGAACGCAGCGTGTAGAGCTTGCTGCTGTTGAGTGTGAAGCGTGCTAGGAGCTTGTTTGACTTAGGGTTGAGGAGGTCACAGTGATCCGAGTGTGTTGGGGAGATCATGGTGAGACTGGAATCTGAGGCAGAGGGATGGAAGTGAAGTGCGAGGAGGACTTCCTTCACCTTGTTGTGCCACTCACGAGGAGCCTGCTTGAGGCCATACACTGGGCGCTTCAGCTTCCACACTGTGTTGGCAGGGTATGTGCCAGGAAACCCCGGTGGGCGTTCCATGTGAACATTCTCCTTGAGCTGGCCTTGGAGAAAGGCAGAGGAGGCATCCATGGACTTGATCTCGAAATTGCCGCGAGCGGCTATATCAAGAAGAGCGCGCACAGTCGGGAGCTTGGCCGTGGGCGAGAATGTTTTGAAGAAGTCGAGATACTCCTTCTGGGTGAAACCCTTCGCCACGTATCGTGCCTTGAACAGTGGAGCTTCGCCTGGGAGTTGTTTGACCCGGAAGATCCATTTTCCGCCGACGATGTTAACACCGGAAGGGGGAACAACATCGTCAAAGCTGTTGTTGCGAATGAACGCCTCGTTCTCCACATCCATTGCTGCCTTCCACTCCTTATAAGGCCCCGAGAGAGCTTCCTCTTTTGTGCGAGTAGTCGGAATGGTCGGGTTCTCGGTGAAGTTGAGGGAAGGGCAGTCAGTAATGTTCGGGAAGATGTGAGAGAGAAATTGGCAGACCGCGTGAAGGTCAAACAGTTCCTCATGCCTGTCCTCCAGAAGTGCACGGGGGGGAACACGGATGGAGGGGACTTCACCCCCGGCAGGAGGAGGCGGGGTGACCGAACACCGGATGGAGAAGGCGGCTGGTCCCCAGGCGAGAGGCGAAGCCGGTCCCTTGGAACGAGTGCGACTAGAGACCGGAGACGAAGGCAGCTGCGGTGGGACCGGAGGGACTGGGCGCCTCCGATAGGAGACTGGTGAGCCGGGCTCGATGCGTGGGGAAGGCGGAGCAGGAGGAGGTGCCGCTGCGGAGGATACTGGGGAGGCCGGGTGAGACATGCCGGACGGAGAAGGTCCCGGAGAAGGGGCAGCGGCCGGAGGTGGGGCATCGAAGTCTGCCCAAACAAGCGTCGGGGGAGGTGGAGGAGGCTCGCCCGTGGTCGCAGAGTGGAATGGGCGTGTCTCATCGAAGACGACATCACGGCTGCGAATCAGCTGTCTGGTGATTGGGTTGAGGAATAAGTAGTCTGGGGAGTCGGAGTTGTGCCCCAGGTACATGCAGGTCTGGGTTTTGGGACCAAGCTTGCCACCTTGCTTCCTGCGCGTGTGGGGGCTTAGCAACACATACGCGGTACACCCCCAGACGCGTAGAGAGCGGGCGGAAGGCGGAATTGTTTTAGTAATAAATCGAACTATATTAATGTCCTTAATTGTTAGCTCTACGATGCATGAAAAGGGGAGAGGTGGCAGGGAATGACACGCAAGGTAAGAGGGAAGGTGGCATGGAATGACGTGCATGGAAAGGGGGGAGTTGGCGGATAATGACAGGCATGCAAAGAGAGGAGGTGGCCTTGCATGACAGGTTAGAGAAGGGGGGGGGGGGAGGGTGGGTTGCAGGGATTTACAGGTGGGGAAAAGTTGGAGGAGGCATGAAGCATCGAACAGAGGGAGGTGACAGGGAATAACAAGCATGGGAAGGGGGGAGGTGGCATGGTATGGCTGACAAGGATGGGGATTCGGGGGCCGAGTATTTCAAGTATGGAAAGGGGGGAGGTGGCAGGGAATGACAAGAAAGGAAAGGGAGGATGCGGCAGGGAATGACAAGCATGGAAAACGGGGTGAAGGCCGACAGTAAGAGGCGTGGAAAAGCTGGAGCTGACACGTAATAACAGCCTTAGGAAGGGGGAGGAGGGGGGGGAGGGGGGGGGGTGGGTCTGGGGATGGAATGATAGGTAAACATAAGGGGGTTCGGTGGCAGGGAATTACAAGCAACGAAATGAAGGAAGTGGCAGGGATTGACATGCACTGAAAGAGGGGAGGGGCATGGCAGAACAAGGCATGCAAAAGGGGAGAGGTGGCAGGGAATGCAAGCCACTCCAAGGGGTTCGAAGGCTGGGTCTTACCAGCATGGAAAGGGGGGAGGTGGCAGGGAATGAGAAGCAAGGAAAGGGTTGATCTGGCAGGGAATGACATGCATGGAGAGGGGGTAACTGGCAGGGAACAACAAGCATGGGAAATTAGGAGAGGGCAGATAATAAAATGCATGGAAAGGTGGGAGGAGACAGACAGGGCATGGCAACCTTGGGAGGGGCGGCAGTGATATGGAATGAGGGGCAACAAAAAAGTTTGGTGGGAGGGATTTTCGAGCAACGAAAGGAAGGCGGTGGCAAGGAGTCGCATACATGAAAATGGGGGAGGTGCATGGTAAAAAATGGCATGGAAAAAAAGGAGGTGGCAGAGAATGACACGCATGCAAAAGGGAGAGGTGGCCGGGCATGACATGCAAGGCAAGGGGGGGGTTGCTAGATTTACAAGCGTGAAAAATCTGGAGAAGGGAGAGAATAAGAAGCATGGAAAAGAGGGAGGTGATAGGGAAAAACAAGCATGGAAAGGGGGGAGGTGGCATGTGTTGGTGAGAGAAGGCTATTAGCAGATAATTCAATGGCTCCTTAGAAATTTCTGCAGCACTTCGTAATGACACCCAGAACCCTCGCGAACTTTGGAAAGCTATATCTGAACATCCAATTGGTGAAACGATCTGACATCCGATATGTTGTAGGTTGCAACTTCAGCTTTCCAATGTAATTTGAATCACTCGATTCCGTAATCAAGCCAGTGAGCTATGGCATTTGGCGCACTGGGGGGTAATCTGCCTTAGGATAAATTGACAGTCCTCAGAGTTACAATCATTAAAGCTTACAAGTTCAAAGGCATGATGGAAACATTGAAGCATATTTGGAAGAAAGGGAAGGAAAGAAAGGATGAAAGGCAATGATGAAAGGGAAAGAACTTTTAGGCCCTTGGTAAAGAACATGACAAGAGTCAAAGTCTTGACTCCCCATCCTAAGTTTCAACCAGCCTGGCAAGACAAAATCCACACTGTGCCAGGATGGCATCCAAAACCCAAATGTTGCAGCTGCAAGGTGAGGACAAAATTCCCTCACATGCTGGTCCCTCCTCGTTATAGGGCTCTCCAATAAGTAGTAACAAATCCGTCACACGTTTCTTTGTAACTTCTATATATAAACTCCGATTCCAACACTTCTTGGCTTGTTGGAATGTGCTTAATGTTATGCACAATCCAAGCACATCTGCACAAGCACAATATGAACATGCAAATACATGCAAACCCAAAAAATCACACAAACAACGTAGCATATGAAACACATGCAAATGAAACGATGCGAACAGACGACATGGTGACGTGCAAACAAATATGCACCAACACACTCCCTCTCAGATTGTTGGCTTGTCTCGCCGTCTCTAGTTCAAGGACATTCCCACCATCCTCGCAGAGCACCAGTGTGGCTCTTCAGCTAGCCGCTTGGTATGGAAGTTGGCTGGCTGTTGCTGAAGTTTCACGTAGATCGGATCTAGTATTCCAAGCTTCACCTCCTTCCGCAGCCAATACCACTTGATCCTCATGAGCTTGTTCAGCCCATGAAGAACCGCATTGCGTGCCATGGCAATGGCTCCTTTGCTGTCACTAAAGAGAGGTGTTGCACAAGTCTGTTCATGTCTGATCTCCTTCGAGAGCCTCCTTAGAAAGATGATTTCTTTGGCCGCATGAAACATTGCCATGTACTCAGATTCCACTGAAGATAGTGCCGTTTCAGACTGCTTCTTGGACCTCCAACTTACAGGCCCACCTCTTACCATGCAGATGTATCCACCAACTGACGATGAATCCTTATGCTCAGAAGCCCATATTGTAAGAAATAGAGCTGAAATTATTGATTAGGTAAGGAGCCCAAGGCTCTTTAAGTACATGGCAAGGTAAGGGAGAATAGATGAAGGGGGAATCGGAGGGAATCCCCACTAGGATCTCCGGAATCTCCAATTCGGTAATTGGAGATTGGGGGGATCACAATTGGGTGAGGTTGTGATTTTGTGAGTACACCCCAATCCACAAGAACATTCCTAACCTAAACTAGGATATAAAAGTACAAATACAAAGTGGGATTTGCAATCTATTTCTAACACACCCCCATAGACTGCAAACCCGGTCAAGGAGCACATAGCCCCATGGAACGAAGAAGGCGATGGTGGTCAGCCTTGCCAAGAGCCTTGGTAAAGAGGTCAGCGAGGTTGCAATCTGAGGCGATGTACCGTACCGTCAGCTGGCCACTCTCAACAAGATCTCGGATGAAGAAATGACAAAGTTCGATGTGCTTGGTGCGAGAGTGGAACACAGGATCCTTGGTGAGGTGAATGTTGGTGCATATTCATTTGCACGTCATCCTGTCGTCTGTTCGCATCATTTCGTTTGCATGTGTTTTGTGTGCTACGTTGTTTGTATGGTTTGTTGGGTTTGCATGTCTTTGCATGTTCATCTTGTGCTTGTGCAGATGTGCTTGGATTGTGCATGACATCGAGCACATTCCAACGAGCCAAGAATTGTTGGAATCGGAGCACATATGAAGAAGTTACGAAGAAATGTTTGATGGATTTGTTACAACTCATTGGAAGTCCTTGTCAGCTGCTACACCAAAGTTGGAGAGCCCTATAACGAGGAGGGACCAGCATGTGTGGGACTTTTGTCCCCACCTTGCAGCTGCAGCATTTGGGGTTTGGAGGCCAACCTGGCACAGTGTGAAATTTGTCTTGCCAGGCTGGCTGAACCTGAGGATGGGGAGTCAAAACTTTGACTCTTGTCATGTTCTTGACCATGGGCCTCCAGGGTCCTTCCCTTTCATCCTTCACTTCCTACCCCACCTTCCAACTGTGCTTCAATGCCTTTTCTATCATGCCTCTGATCTTGTAAGCTTCAATCATAGTGACTCTGAGGACTGTCAACTTCTCCTAGGGCAGATTACCCCCCAGTGCGCCAAACGCCATAGCTCACTCGTTTAGCTACGGAATCGAGTGATTCAACTTTCAGTGGAAAGCTGACACTGCCAGCTACAACATATCCGATTTTCAGATCGTTTCACCGATTGGAGTTTTTGATATAGCTATTCGAAGGTCGCGAGTTTTCTGGGCGTCATAACGAAGTGCTGCAGAAATTTCCAAGGAGCCATTGAATCATCTGCTTATAGCCTTCTCTAACCAACAAGTGGTATCAGAGCCTATTATCACGCATTTGGGACCTAAAATACGATGGGAGATAAAGAGGACTCTGGTGGAGGTGATACTTCAGTCCAAGGAGGCAGCTCAACCCAAGATTCTGGCATTGCAGCGCAAAGGGGAGCGCGTACAAGCCAGGGGTCACTGCTTAAGGAGGTGCTGAAGAACTTCACCATTGAGAAGTTCTCTGGAGATGGCTATGATGATTGGGCATGGAAGATGCAGCTCTACTTTCGACAAATTGGCCTCTTGAAGCTCATGATTGGAACGGAGCCAAGGCCAAAGGAAATGGCAGAGCAAGCGGACTGGGATGAACGTTCATCTGCTGGGTACTATCTACTGTCACAAAGCTTGGAGCTGAACCAGAGGCATCACATCATGCATCTGCTACCGGAAATTGATTGTGGGCCCAAGGCATGGGCAGTGCTCAAGGACCTGCACGCTCCGACATCGGTTGCCGCTTCTCTCATGCTGGATCGGGAGCTGTCCATGCTGCGGTTGAGCGAGAATGAAGCTGTGCAGCCCGTACTGGACAAGATGAGGGAACTCTACGCGAAATTGGCGATTGCAGGCATCACGTACCCAGAGCAGACAAAGTGTCTCAAGATGCTCAGCCTGCTGCCGGAGTCTTGGCTGCAATTTATAAGCGGACTCAGCTTGCCACAAAACCAAAGTCAATGGACATTGGAGTGGATTCGCACCAAGATTCTGGAAGAAGATTTTCGTCGCTATACACTGCGCGGAGGTGATGACAGCACCAGCGGCTATGCCATGCAAGGGACATGGAGGGATCGAGGGCGTGGCAATCGCGGTCGCTCTTACCACAGCCAAGGTGGTCGCGGGACTTGGAACCAGCGGGGGCGTGGTGGCGCTGGTGCAAGAGGAAGAGGTGGTCACTCCAACAATGACAACAGTGAACCACGCTTGAGGGGAGAGTGCTGGTATTGCAAGGAAGAAGGGCATCCATGGTTTCGCTGCCCTACCAAGCCCGACTGGTGGACCCCTTGGAACCAATCGGAGAAGGGGAATGGAGGAAAACAACCACATGGAGGTGCCAACATGGTAGCTGATCCTGCTGAAGAAACCTCCAAGGATGACAGAGGAATGCGAAATGAGGAGAGGAATGCTGGACAGTTCTACCATGTGTGTGACAAAGATGACAGTGGCACAGCTGTTGCAAGGGCTGGAGAGGAATTGCACCCGCTTGACATGTGGGTCATGGACTCTGGTGCTGCATGGACAATGACACCACGCAAGGACTTGCTGGATGCTGTGCGAGCGCCTCCAATCTCTGAAGTGCGCTCAGCATCCGGACATGCAGTGAAGGTCGCTGGAGTTGGTCGAGCTGCATTCAGAGCACCTGATGGTGGACTGGTTGTGCTGAAGGATGTGTTACTCGTACCGGGGCTGAAGGCCAACCTGATATCGCTGCGCAAGCTAGGCCAGGCCGGAGTCAGCACCACCACCAATGGATCCAAAACATTCAAGGGGCTGCGAGGAGATCGTGTGTTATGGGATTTACACGAAAGCAGAGATGTCTTCAGATCCATGTGGCAGATCCCTGCACTGATATGGGAATCAACAAAGAAGGAGTTGGGAGAAGTAAAGGCGGGTTCTGGAGTCCAGGGGGAGTGTAATGCAGTTAGTGCTGCAGGAGTGACGGTTTCTGCAAGGTCGGGGGAGACTGATTGGGAAACCGCACACAGGCGTCTAGGGCATGTGGCTATGCCATTGCTGCAGCAACTGCATAAGGAAGAAGCAGTAAAGGGGCTCAAGCTTTCTGGGCAACCAAATGCTACCAAGTGCGAGACGTGTCTGCTGAGCAAGTTCACACGGTTCCCCTTTCACGGCGTAGCTGGGAAAAGCAAGGCAGCACTGGAACTGGTGCACATGGACCTCGTAGGACCTTTTCCAGTCCGAGGAAGTAAGGGGGAAAGGTACTTCCTGACAATAGTTGATGACTGGAGTCGGCTGATGTGGGCATACCCGTTGAAGCAGAAGGATCATGCTGCCTCAACAATACGAGATGATTGGCTGCCGTTCGTCGAGCGACAATCTGGGCACCCATGCAAGAGCATCAGAACCGACCGAGGTGGAGAGTTTCTAGGAGGAGATCTGACTGCGTGGCTCAAGAAACAAGGCATTGAGCATCAGCTAACGACGTCCTATACCCCTCAGTCAAATGGCGTTGCTGAGAGGGCTAATAGGACCATCCTGGAAACTGCGCGAGCGCTGCTGATCGAATCAGGGCTGGGGAACTCCATATTCATTTGTAAGCTTCAATCATAGTGACTCTGAGGACTGTCAACTTCTCCTAGGGCAGATTACCCCCCAGTGCGCCAAACGCCATAGCTCACTCGTTTAGCTACGGAATCGAGTGATTCAACTTTCAGTGGAAAGCTGACACTGCCAGCTACAACATATCCGATTTTCAGATCGTTTCACCGATTGGAGTTTTTGATATAGCTATTCGAAGGTCGCGAGTTTTCTGGGCGTCATAACGAAGTGCTGCAGAAATTTCCAAGGAGCCATTGAATCATCTGCTTATAGCCTTCTCTAACCAACAGTGAATGGCGCTCTGGTTGTCACACCATAGGGTGGGCGACTGCTGGGGGTAGCCTAACTCAGCGAGGAGAAAGGAGAGCCAGCGTGCCTCTTGAGCAGCCATTGTGCCCGCGTAGAGCTCAGCCTTGCAGGACGATAGGGAGACTGCAGAGGACCGAGTGGAACGCCAGCTGATGACTCCGCTACCAAGAGTGAAGCAGTACCCTTGGAAGGAGCGTCTGTCAGTCTGGTCATCGGCCCATGAGGAGTCTGTGTATCCCTCGAGCTTGACTGGAGAGGTACCACCGAGAGTGAGGATGTGAGACTTGGTGGCTTGTAGATAGCGGAGGACCCTCTTGGCTGCAGACCAATGCGAGGCAGTGTAGCGTCCGGGGGAGACGTACCGAGAGAGGACACTAACCGGGTAAGCCAAATCTTGTCGAGTGCACATCATGGCATACATGAGTGAACCGACTAGCTCAGGGTACGGGTCCTTGCAGGTGTCAGGAGAAGGAACCGGAGGGGCCGTGAGCTGATACTGTAGTAGGAGAGGAGTCGAGACAGAGTTACTGGAGTCCATGTCGAGCCGCTTGAGAAGGTTGTCGATGTAGGACTCCTGGGAGAGGGTGATCGTGCAAGCCTGGCGGCCATGAGTGATCTCCATCCCCAGGTAGTTCTTGAGGTCACCAAAATCCTTCATGAGAAGGGCGGAGCTGAGAGCAGACTGGACAGCTGCCATGTCGGCTGGATCTCTGGCGGCTAGAATGAAGTCGTCGACGTAGACGAGGATGTAGAAGGGCTCGGAGGAGTGACGAACGAAGAGACTAGAATCTGAGGCGGAGGGATGGAAGTCAAGTGCGAGGAGGACTTCCTTCACCTTGTTGTGCCACTCACGAGGAGCCTGCTTGAGGCCATACACTGGGCGCTTCAGCTTCCACACTGTGTTGGCAGGATAAGTGCCACGAAACCCCGATGGGCGTTCCATGTGAACATCCTCCTTGAGCTGGCCTTGGAGAAAAGCGGAGGAGGCATCCATGGACTTGATCTCGAAGTTGCAGCGAGCGACTACATCAAGAAGAGCGCACAGAGTCGGGAGCTTGGCCGTGGGCAAGAATATTTCGAAGAAGTCGAGATACTCCTTCTGGGTGAAACCCTTAGCCACATATCGTGCCTTGAACAGTGGAGCTTTGCCTGGGAGTTGTTTGACTCGGAAGATCCATTTTCCGCCAACGATGTTAACATTGGAAGGGGCAATGATATCGTCAAAGCTGTTGTTGCGAATGAACAACTCATTCTCCACATCCATTGCTGCCTTCCACTCCTTGTTATAAGGCCCCGAGAGAGCTTCCTCTTTTGTGCGAGGTCGGAATGGTTGGGTTCTCGGTGAAGTTGAGAGAAGGGCAGTCAGTAATGTCCGGGAAGATTTGAGAGAGAATTTGGCAGACCGCATGAAGGTCAAACAGCTTCTCATGCCTGTCCTCCAGAAGTGCACGAGGGAGAATACGGATGGAGGGGATATCACCCATGGCAGGAGAAGGCGGGGTGACCGAACACCGAATGGAGAAGGCGGCTGGTCCCTTGGCGAGAGGCGGAGCCCATCCCTTGGAACGAGTGCGACTAGAGACCGGAGACGAAGGCGGCTGCGGTGGGACTGGAGGGACTGGGCGCTTCTGGTAGGAGACTGGTGAGCCGGGCTCGACGCGTGGGGAAGGCGGAGTAGGAGGAGATGCCGCTGCAGAGGATACCGGGGAGGCCGGGTGAGACAGACCGGACGGAGAAGGCCCTGGAGAAGGGGCAGCGGCCGAGGGTGGGGCATCGAAGTCTGCCCAAACAAGCGTCGGGGGAGGTGGACAAGGCTCGCCCGTGGTCGCAGAATGGAAAGGGCGTGTCTCATCGAAGACGACATCACGGCTGCGAATCAGCTGTCTGGTGATAGGGTTGAGTAAGTAGTCTGGGGAATCAGAGTTGTGCCCCAGGTATATGCAGGTATGGGTTTTGGGACCAAGTGTGCGACCTTGCTTTCTGCGCTTCTGGGGGCTGAGCAATACATATGCGGTACACCCCCAGACGCGTAGAGAGCGGGTTGAGGGCGTGGCCCCAAGCCAGAGAGTGGTAGGTGTGGTGTCTGTGAGAATACGACCCCGTTACACTTTTTTCCCGTTTCCATATTTCCTTTCTATTTTATTCCTCTTTTTATCCTGATTCAGTTGGTCTTTATCTCATCTCATTTGGTTTCCTATTCCTGATTTTCTATTATCCTTTGGTTTATCCTGGTATTTTGATTATATCACCGACCAGGCTCGGGATGTACTGGAGCGCTATATCTAGCGTAATCCTGCCGTAATCCCTTAAAGCCAATAGCCTCGCTTGGCTATAGGCAGGTTGATTCTATTTCTAGAAGGGTCTATTCTATTTGGATAGGATAAACCTGGTTACGTGATGTACTCTGGAAGTATAAAAAACCTTGTACTGATTCATAGGGCAACATTGAGCAAACCTCATTCGATCATGTGACACTTGGTATCAGAGCCAAGGTTTCAGCTCAATGCTTAACCGCTGGGCCCCCAGGAGCACGCGGAGGATGGAGTCGAAACTTTAATTCCTGTAAGTTGAATGCCCTTTTATTGAAGTTTCGACTCACCTCTCTCAGTTGCACCTGGGGTCCCCAGTGAAGGCGAGATGCCTCGCTGACCGTTCGATGGACTGCATCGACAGTGCCGAATTTTTCGCGGGGGCAAACGGCCTCGAACTCGCGAACGTGTCACTTCTGGCGGAACACTCCCTGCGACATTCGGAGAAGTTTGCAGTTCGCGACGACACTTGGAGTTGCTCGGAAATGTGCGGAGCTGCGACCGACGACATCCGTCCGATGGAGATTCGACGCTTCGGATCGACCGAGGCGAAAACGAAATCCTTCTGAGCGAGTTCGAGTTTCAGCGCGAATGGGTACGGGACCTCGCTAGCCGTGAAATTCTTCGGAGCGTTGGATCGTTCGACAGCCGACATCGACGACTGCAAAATGCTGCAGGAAACAAGTTATCCGGTGCACCGAAAGCTGCTGAACGCGTCTCAGGAATTTCTTCAGATCGCTTGGAGTTTGGACCGTCGGATCAGCGTCTGCTTCAACGGACGAGATAGAGCGTAACTTCTGCACAAAGGGAGAATGATGCAGAGAACCAAATATCAGCCACCTTCGACAACGTCTTTTTCTTCTTGACAGCCAAATTCGGATTCCTCCATTTGGTCACGAATTTGGGGCGCAAAATCATCTGGAGAGTCAGAAAGAATTACCTCCTTGGTAATAGCTGCAAGCAGAAAGCTGACAGGAGAACGTGGATCGTTGGATCGGTGCGGAATCAACGGCACGAATGCAACAGAGACTACACTATGGGAAAACATCATCATGGAGACAACATTCGTGGCCAGAGACTGCACAATCGACGCATCTTCTAACTAGTGTTGATAAACGATACGATTTTTCTTTACGAAGTCATCTTCCTTAAAAATGGATCGACATCAACACCGCGAGATCTTCACCCAGGGGGAAAATGGAGCTGCGTGAAGACATGTTCTCCACCAATGAGACACTTTATCTGATAAATTTGATCGACAACCTATGGGATTGCAGAGAAGTAGCCGTTTTCTCTTGCAATGCTCCCAAGTTAAAGTTGCTGCGAAGGAGCAGATTTCGCACGCAACGACGACGCAGTGAGCCCGTCTTGTCAAGGCCAGCGAGAGACTACTTCGTAACAGGAGCTGAACGATTCGTCTTCATCAAGAATCTCAGCCATCCGAGGTGATTGATTGGAGCAGTCTTTATATCGACCTCACGAGGCGACACACCAATCATGCGTCGCGATTTCAGATGTTAATGACCTGCGAGGAAAAAAATTCCGTGCACGTCACGATGCTTGACAGATTGAGGAGTAATTAACCTCTAATCTGGCGAGTACTCGCTCACTAGCGACCATACGGCACATGCATTGGAGGCGATTCTACCAGAAGCCGAAGCGTTACAAGCATCAGCGTTACTTCGACGATACAGAAGAACGCCAAGCAACACGAGGTGTCAACAAATGAGAGAGATGCGGACTACTACAACACAATCACGTGCTCTACCGACTGTACATCGGAGGCACGGATGAGCATACCAGGAATTGCTACCCGTGGATACATTGAGGGGAGAAGCAAATTTCTCTTCATACCCTCAAATGAAACAATCACCGACAGCAATGGAGCAAGACATGTGTACTAATGTGCACGCATTCCTGGTAGTTACACCTGTTACACCCATCAGGAAAACTCTACTGGGATGAGGGAGTTGATGGATTCTCCTTCAACCATTACGAGTTAAGAGAATTCTCTACAGCAGCTGCCACCGTCGCCATCGTTGCAACCACCGCCGCAGCCACAGCAGAAGACTCGACCCAATAGTCATATCCAAACCCTGATGGATCATTCTCGGCTCAATGGAGATAATGCTGGATTATATTCCACTGGATCGTTAAGTCCCGGCCAGGCACAGTACTATGATTTCCAGCTAGTGGGAAGGAGATACCACTATGCGAGGGAACATCATGGCAATGCCATATACCCTCGAGAGCATAAGATATTTGCTCTTATGAGGATGGGAGGACTACGGTACTCTACCGGTATCCAAGTCCTCATGGCCTATGGCTTTCCTTAAAGTCATAAAACCTGCGTCACAACCAATCCATCACCAGCACCAACTCCACGGAAGCAGACAGGCGTGAAATGGAGCGCCGATGCCACTCCGGATAGTGGACTCCGCGTATCTCCAACAACACCCCTATTTACCGACATGGAGCAAACTTTAACACTGATACTGAGTAGCTGAGACGTCTTCGACATCAACGCTACTTCAAGGACAATGACAGAATGAGACAACAGATGATGGTGTTATAAATAGACCGCGAACACCACTTTTGTACTTGTACTTTTATATCCTAGTTTAGGTTATGAATGTTCTAATGGGTTGGGGTGTACTCACAAATCCCAACCTCACCCAATTGTGATCCCCCCAATCTCCAATTACCCAATTGGAGATTCCGGAGATCCCAATAGGGATTCCCTCCAATTCCCCCTTCATCCATTCACTCTCACCTTGCCATGTACTTATAAAGCCTTGGGCTCCTTACCTAATCAATCATTTCAACTCTATTTCTTACATGGTATCAGAGCGACCTATCCGCACACGCGGATCAAGGTCCTAATTTCAACGTGCCCGCGCTACGAGCACTTCATCGTCGCGACATTCGTTTCGAGTCGTCGGAATTTCGACGTGCTCCACTCTGCAGTCGCGCCTCTCATCGTCGACTGCCTTCGCGCTCGACCTCGTTGAATTTCTCATCTCTGAAGCTTTCACGCTTCTCATCGTCGATTTCCTCCTCGGTTCTCCTTGGTCGAATCTCAATTTCGACCATCTCTTAAAACTCGTTCTCGAGTTTCCCCTCAGACCCCGCCAGAATAGGCAAACTCCCCTCGCGAAATCGCCTCCACGAACGTCTCGCGTCAAATCAAGAGCAGGTACACAGGTTAAAGCGGAGCGGAGCAGGTTGCGGAGCTGGTTGCGGAGCTGTTTGCGGAGCTGTGTAGCTGCGGGACAGGGCCTGGGGGTGTGTGGGGGGGTGTGTGGGTCCGGGGTTAGACATAGGCTCAGATTCAGTTTCAAGTCGGCGTTTTAACGAATTTTCGCCAACGCCATTTCCTACTTAGCGGCATTTTGATACAGCCGTCAGAGTGATTTTCAGCAATTCTCGTCGACCAATTTCCAGAAGTGCCGCGCTGCACACCGACAATGGCTTACTCAACCACTTCACTCGCCAACCCGATCCCGCTCC